TTTTCTACTAACTCCAAAACTCAATCCCTGAATACATCCATCTAAATCGATAACCGAATCATCATGTAACTTAGCATGTGCATAAAGTATATATCGGAAGTAAAAATTAGAGATTCAAACCAATCCGTTAAGAGCAGAAAATGCACACTCAACAGAATGCATTCCTGTGAGGGGACCCAACTTCAACCTCTAAAATCCTACACCTGTGTTCAGAATGCCAATGGCTGACCACACTCTCCATGACTTCCAGACTGAGACTTGGTGTCCTGCAGCTCTGGGGAATGCAGGAGCTGGCCGGACCCCATAAAGCCATTGGCATAGCCAGTCAACAAGCAAAATTAATTGCAAGGTTTACTACAGGCCAGGTGGCATTCATGACGTAAAAAGAGCTGTTTCTAATCAAGGCATGTTAAGTGAGGTTAATTGCCTCTGTGTCTGCTTGGTCAACAGGGTTAAAGAATCCTGATTCCCTTAAGGGACTGACATTAGACCAGAAAACTCAGCAAGGTAAACAGCAAGTTTCACTCACGGAAGTCTCCAAAAAGGGTTTCGAGCAGGCGAGAGACTAGGGGGCTGCAAGGCAGTGTTTCCCCCTCACGCGAAGTCAGAACGCCCGAAGGCTTCTGCCTGCACACTGGGGCATTAGTCGGGGTCACCACAGGACAGGGGCATTCTCAGGGCTGGCCCTTGCTCAGACCCAGGTGGCCACTCCAGAGCGTCATGCAGTGAGCTAGGGTGACTTGGGGAGGAGGCCCTTATGGATGGCGCTGCAGTTTTGCCTCCGGGTGCCTGAAGGCCCTGGAGTAGTGAGGACCCCTAGCCAACTCGGGAAGAAATGGGGTAAATATTGGGGGCCAGTAAACACGACCGCCCCTCCCCGACTCCTTCTCCTTTCCATGAACAGCTGGATTGGGTTTCTTTTCCTTTTTCTTTCCCCCAGAGGTTAATCGACCCCGCGCATCTCTAGCCGCAGCCCCCTTTCCAAAACTCGCCATGCGCGAAGCCACTGCGCAGCGCACTCTGGCAGGGTGCGCGCGCGCGGGGGGGGGGGTGTTAGTGCGGGGAAGGGGTTCCCCGAGGCTCCCCGCGATCCCCACGCCGCGAGCTAGTGACATCAGAGGCTCGCGTGGACGGATCCTGCCGCAAAGCCCGGCGCGGGGTGTGCGTGCGTGCAAGGGGAGCCCGGCCTCACGAAGCGGGCGGCACTAACCCTTCTTAAATTTATTCAGGCAGCCGGAGCTGCAGAAGGACCGCACCGAGGCCGTCTCCCAGCAGCCGCGTCCCTTCATCCCCGCCGCCCGCGGCCTCCGAGCCGCTGGGCACTACATGGCGCCGGGTCCGGGGAGCGCAGCTCGGAGGGCCGCAGGGCAGAGGAGGCGGCGGCGGGCGCTCGTGGGTCCTGGCGTCGCGTCGCACGGAGCACCAGGCCGCCCAGAGCGTGGTCCCTTAACCCCGTCGGCGCCGCGCGCGCAGAGCCGGCCTCCCCGCCTCCTCCCCCGGAGCCTGCGCCGCCGCAGCCGTGCGACCCCGCGAGCTCCGGGGCGCGGGGTGTGGGGCGGGCTTCCCGCGGCCACGTCACGTCTGCACGCGAAAATCCGAGCGAAGGTGCCGCCTCCTGCAGCAGCAGGCTCCGCGGCGCCGCTGCGATCCAAAGCAAGGGTGCCCTTGAGAAGCCGGGGCACGTGGGAAATGGGGTGGCCCGGAGCCTGACGGAGATTCCAGGAATCACCACTGAGACCCGGTCACCTTCTAACCCGGTTTCCGTGGCTGAGGCGTCTGTGTCTGGCCACCTGCAGAGCTACCTGGCTACCTCCTGGGAGGACGGCAACAGGCGGGGCCCCAGGGACTTCAGTTCCTTTAGGCACTTCTGCTACAGGACGGCAGCATCTGGGGACATCTGCCTCTGCCCAGACCGGTGAATACAAACGCCCCGTAGACGTCTGGTGGGCGCCACAAACTCAGTTGTCCAAATGTGAGTTTCTTGTGGTTCCCTAGAGGTTTCTGCCAACCCTTCCTTCACCCCTCAGAGCCATACTTGACTGGTCTGCCTTAAGACCCCAGGGCCGCACATTCTGAGCACTGTGCTCACAGAACACATACATGATTCTCCTGTTCTCCATCATCCCACTCTCTCCCGAACCACAGACTCTCAGAAAGCATTCCAGAAAGTCTCCATTTCCACTCTGGCTGCCCCCAGTCCACACTCAGTACAACTGCCCAAAGGATCCAGACTCAAGATCCCCACATAGGAACCCACTGACAATTTACTGACAGATCCCTATCCCAGGGCCCCAATCTTCCCACTTTTGAGAGGCCTGGAACACCTGCTTCCGCTTCCCCAGTAGCAGGACTGCCGTGGGCCCCAGCTAAAGTTTCCTGGCAGTTTGTACAGGAGGTATGTGTGCAGGAATTGATTCAAAGCGGGATTTTTAGCCACGTGCTCTGAGTATCGTGGAAGTGTCCCTGTCCTGAGCCAGGAAGGGCAGAGCCAGGGTCCCCTCCTGTGTGTCTTCTCACGCAGCCATTCCTGGTGTCTCTGCCCGTGCCCTACCACCACCGTCTAACCACCCCTATTAAAGCCACTCTGGATTACTTGAGAAGCCAACAAAGAGAACACATCTAGAAAACAAAGGGGAGTAGTGAAGAAAAAAATAAAATAATCACAAAGTCCTGGGAGAACACATGCACACACTTGTGTGCATATGTGAACACACATGTGCATGCACACACAGGAACACATAGGCATGCATACATTTACACACACATGCACATACACACATGCATACACATGAATACATGAATGCCTGCACACACACACACACACACACACACACACACACACACAGTGCCACCTTTCTACATAGATATTTTACACTGTAAGCCACATTGAAACATTATCAGGTTCTGCTCATGTAGAATGGTTAGAGTCCAGCCTAGAAGAACAGGTAGCTAGATATGTTAGGTGAAGGGTCACAGGTGACCAGGCAGCAAGGTCAAGGGACCTAGTATCACACTTCCACTCACCATCAGGACACTGCTAACCAGGCTCTGATGGCCCCAGGCTCCTCCTTTCCCCAGGCTAGTGCATATACACACACTAAAATCCATGTACACATATTGGTGTGTGCACATGTGCATATGTGTGTGTGTGTGTGTTCACCCATGTGCACAATATCCAGTGTCCATCCCAGTGCCAGAGGCAAGAGGAAACAAGAAACTAATGGGAAAGTTCTAGGGTGCAACGCGGCAGTACGGTGAGAGCCATAGACCGTCCCCACCACAGCCTGGTGTGAGGAATGAGATGCTTCAAGTAGGAGACGACGAAGCATGACCCTCTGTCCCTGTCACCACTGTGGTAAAGACAGACACGACCTCAGAGCCCGGCTGCAGGGAAATGCCTGTGCTGTCGGCTTCATGGATGCCGCAGAGTCATCTAGACTTCCACAGGCACAGCACAGATAAAGACTTATGCTAAAAACCAAAACGCTGGAAGAAAGAGACTCATACAATGTTTGAAATTGAGAGAAAACTACACTGAAGTAGACCTATCGAAGCTGCAGATTCGGGGGCAATTTCTTGGCCTCCAGGCTTCTTCTGCATCCAGCATGCCCTATGGGGACTTTATTCACTTGTCTGTTTCCTGTATCCAATGATGAAGACTGCGGCTCTCTCTCATTATTCCCGGCCTCCGGGTGAGCAGTACATGGTAGGAACTTACTGATTGGATGAGCACTGGGGTGACTCACTCACTGATGGGATCAATGACTCGGTTGCTCAAAGTGGCTTAGTCACTTACCAGGAACCCCACCTGGCTGAGCCAGGCAACTAAACCCTCCTGCCTTCCCCAACTTCCTACGGCGGTCCCTTCAAGGTTGTGCTTCTGGTGTACACAACCTCACGGCTTCCTTTGTCCTCTGTTCTCCTTCCTCATCCCTGAGTGGATAGTCCAGAGGTGACCCGAGCTGGCCACAGCCCTCAAGGCTGTAGGCCTTGGGGAACTGTGGCTTCCCTCTGGGTCACAGGCTAATCATTAAAAAGGGCTGGGGCCTATGCTCACCCAGGATGCATTGCATGTGCCTGGCCCCTGGGGGGCTGCCTTAAGAATGAAGCCTTTACAGAAGCAGCGTTCTAAGAATAGCCATACATAGGTGCTGACTACCTTTGTCATTAATAAATAAACGACTTTGCGCCAAAGCCAAAGAACTAATTCAAAAGCAATTTATGAGGATGGGTTGCTAGGCAATTAAAATAAACATCTAAGGGGGAACTTTTCAATTTGTCATTGATTATGCTAAAAACTACAAATTATGGGAAGGAATATACCATTCAAATCTGTGTGATGTAATGGACAGTGCCTGGGCCGATTCTGTCCCTGGTGCCCTGTACATCTAGAGCAGTAGGTCAGATGGACTCCACCTCTGGGGGCTGAGCCTGGTGGGCAGCAATGGGCTGCCTGGCCTGGAAGCCAGCTCTCCTGGGTACCAGGAGGACAGTTGGGGTTAGTGCCACCAGCCAGTTCCAAGGACACTGGCTTCTTGGCAGCCTCCATTCAACTGCTCCTGTTGGTTATTAACGAGTCTTTTGCTTGTTGGAGCCTAAATATTCCTTTCATTGACAGGTCCCTGAAGACTCTGTCCATTTGGTTAGTCTTCAATCAGTATTATTATTATCTTACAAATAAATCTGAAAATACAAATCTATCACAGAATATCCCCCTTGGTGGGTCATTAAGGCAACAGAAATTAACAGCCCTGATGAGCTCTTTTAAGTATATTAAGACTGTTACAAATTTATTTAGTCATTTACAACCTAACAATGTCACCGTTGAGATTCCTGGGAAGCTGAGGTGCTCCTGTTCTGGGGCATGGGACACTGGCGGCTCATTCCATAAAGGGATATGAGGGCCCATTGAGGGCTCTGTTGCTGCTGTTGCCCTGAACTCAATAACCCAGCTCCTGGGAGTTTTCCTCCGGGAAATGAATCAAGAGACTCAAAAGGCGTTCTGTACAGAGATCTTCATTGCCTCACTATCCGTCATAGCACACGACAGAAAAGTCAAATGCTCAACAGCTGAAGGATGATTTCAACAGTAAGAGAGTTTCGGCTCTGTGGACTATTACACAGCCATTAACATGATGACAGAGTGGGAAACCGTTAGCTACAGTGGCAGGGTAAAGGGCAGGTCATGAAGTAGCTTGTTTAATCCGATGCCTAAGATGGGAAACACAAGAAGAAAGGGGAAGAAGATTAGACATAAAATTCAAAGGGAGGTTTGTAAGGATGTGAGATCACCGGCAATTATTTTTTTTTAAATATTCTAACCCTTTCATTTTTTAGTATGGCATTTCCCACAGTGACAAAATTACATTCAATCAACTGACCATAAATAAACCCTTTCCCAAGAGAAATGAGGAAGAGTCTTTGAAGGTCAGGTGCTTTGCTCAGGGAGGGTAAGTTATAGTGTTAAACCATGGGTAGTGGGACATGGGCCAGTGGCCGGGAAGCATGGAGTCAGGACTGTGGACCGTGGATCCCGACCTTATGACGCCAGTCAGCTCTCCCAGGGGGCTGCGGGGCCTGGACTCAGATTCGCAACCCACCTGCTGGGTGACAGTACAAATACAGGAGCCTCGCTGAGCCTTGCCTGCTGCATCCTCAACCAAAAGTGGTGCACACTGGCTGGCATGCTCGCTTGCTCTCTCACTCGCTGTTAGGAGCAAAGCAAACATCCCCTAATGCTTCAACTCCAACCCATGTGCCTAAGAACGGGACTGTACGTGGACCTAAAGCCTTTAAAGGGAGACTTCTAATAAAATGAAGCCATGGAGTGGGGCTAATCGACTCTGAGAGGTGACCTTCCAAGAAAGGCAGATTAGGATATGTACACACAGAGTCCATAAGGACACAGGGAGGAGGCGAGCCAAGGAGAGCGGCCTCAGAAGGAGCCAAGCCTGCTGACCCTCTGACTTTGGGCTACTCGTCTCCAGAAGTGAGAGTAGGTTTCTGTTATTTAAGCTGCCTAAACTGAAGTGTTTTGTGAGTCTGGCTTATGAAGACAGTTTCCTTATGCCAAATCCTGATGATGTCAGCGCCAGTTCTGGTAGGCGCTTACTTAGGAAGCATGAACCACACCAAGGTCAGATGCTAGGCACTTCCATTGACTTCCCAAAGCCTGGCTGTACTAAAAAGGTCCAGCTTAACTGTGAAGTACACAGTGGCTGCAATCCCCATGACATCTGGAATGAGGGACCGCAGTGTGGACAGCGGCCACTGTGTAGCTATGAAATCAACGCAGAGGAGGAGAGCATCAGGTCTTGTTCCTCCAAGTAGTAATCAGCTGCTGCGAATTAAACCTCTGAGCTCCACTTTCCCTGGCACTTTCCAAACTTCTGATTGACAGATCCTCCAACAGATGTTCTCAGTGCCACAATCACAAGTTTGAGGCCAGCCTGATCTACAAAGTGAGTTCCAGGCCAGCCAAGGCTACATAGTGAGACCTTGTCTAGAAAAAAGGCAACATGGAGAAATACTGAAAAGTATAACAAAACAAAAAGGACTCACCAGCTAGGATTAGTGACTCCACAGTAGCATAAACTCCAAATAGCCAAAGGGTACCATGGCCACAGAAATGTAGCAAGCTCAAAATGCACAGAAACAGATCAAGACCTACCCAGTCTCAAAGGCAACAGGGGAAATGCAAAACAGACTGAGGAAATCCCTTTTTGTTCACTGTTTATGCAGTAACAGTAAGAAGAACGCCAAGGAAGCTGACAATCCACACTGTTGGGAGATAAACATTCTAAAGCGTGTGTGTGTGTGTGTGTGTGTGTGTGTGTGTGTGTGTGTGTGTGTGTGTATGTGCATGTACATGTACATGTACATGCCACAGCACTTGTGTGGAGGACAAAGAACACCCTTCAGGAGTCAGTTCTCCCCTCCCAAAGTGTGGGTCCTGAGGATTGAACTCAGGTCATCAGGCCCAGAGGCAGGCACCCCCACCTGCTGAGCCGTTCTGTCAGGCCTCTTCTTTTTTGAGGCAGGGTCTCTCACTGAACGTGGAGCTCCATCAGCTAGACTGGCTAGCCAGCAATTACCTAAGGCTCCGCCCGTCTCCACCCTACTCCCAGCAGCGGGATACAGACATGCGCTGCCGCCATGCCCAGCCTTGATGAGGGGCTAGGGATTAAAGTCAGGTCTTTGCGCTTGCACAGTAAGCACCTGACCTACTTGAACCATGTCCCCAAGTCCTTCGTACTCTGTTTGGCCAGCAATCTGGTAGTGCCTGCTGTCACCCAACCATTTCACTTCTTGGAAGCTGTGCTAAGTTAATGCACACACCACAGCACTCTCCGGAATAGAAACAGAATGTAAAGAATCTTAATCAGCCGTCAAAAGGGAAGCTAACAAAACTGTGATACCCTGTGAAATCCCACACCATTGTTTTAAACTGATCTAGATCTATTTGAATTGGCACGGGAGGATCTACAAAATACACTGGGGTCAGAGATAAAGCAAGGAGTGGTTTATTCTAACCTCACAGGCGCACATGGGGAGGCACGTGGAGGAGGGGCACCTGCCCTCCGCTTTGGGAACAGTTTGCAGATGCACCACTGCAACAAATTGTGTGGCTCTCTCGGCTCTCATTGCCAATGGAGGGAGGTGATAAGAGACGACTAAATTTTGCAGCATGTATTTTAGAATCATTTAAATATTCCACAGTGTTATGTTTCTTAGAGATATGTAATCCTCACAGACAGCGACAGGGACAAATGCCGCCACACGAAGGCCTGCTCTCGATGAAACCTGTGGCTGGGGACAGGGGAGCCCAGGGGTCACATCAGAGAAGCCACCACATCAGTGCACACAGACCAACCTGGCAGGCAGCAATCAGAGAGGGACTGGATCATTTGGCGCATGCGTGGCACAATCCCCATGAATCGGAGGAGCAGAGCCGCCCATGGCGACTGGCCCTGCAAAGAAGGGACACAACTGCAACCAGGTGTGGCGGGACCAGGGGTCAGGTGCCTGTCGTCCAGCCAGGCTGCAGGCCTCAACCCACCCTCAGCTTCCAGGCTCCTGGCAGCAGCTCGTGACCACAGATACCAGTGACCGCCCAGTGTGTGGCTCGGGCATGAGGAGAGGACATGCACGGGGGGTGGGGTGGGGTGGGGTGGTGTATCAGGGCACCCCCTCGCACTCACCTCCCAGGCCTGCTCTGAGCCATGTGGTCAAAGAGGTGACAGAACCAGCAAGAGGGTCTGACAGACAGGTGAAGAGAGAAGACATTGGGAAAGGCAGAACACGACAGGTATACCCCTGCTCAGTCACCGAGTCTTGCTGGAAGCCCTCCACAGGTCCCTCATGTCATGTCAACCACGCTGTTACGGAACCACAGCTGCCTGGCGCTTTCGTCACACACTATCTTCCAACCTCCTCGTCTCCCACGACCAGGCAGCGGTCAACTGTTCACACTCTTTCCACTCTGGGGGATGATCTCTACGCCCAGAGCATACATCCCTCTCTGTCTTAGTGTCCCATCAGCGACGGAAGAAGTATAGTCTTCCCTCCAAGCATCAGGACCACCTGCACGTCCTCTGTCCCCACCCACTCTGTTTCGTGGTGGCTGCTGTGATGGTTTGTATGAGCATGGCCCCCACAGGCTCAGATGTTTGAATGCTTGGTCCCCAGTGGGTGGAACTGCTTGGGAAGGATGTATGGCCTTATTGGAGGAGGTGTGTCACTGGGGGTGGGCTTTGAAGTTTCAAAAGGCCACGCCAGAGCCAGTGTCTCCCTGCCTATGGATTAGGATGTAAGCGCTCAGCTACTGCTCTAGCGCCTGTCTGCTGACGTGCTCTCCACCAAGAAAGTCATGGACTCACCCTCTGTAAGAAACTGTAAGCAAGCCCCTAGTTAAATGCTCCCTGGGTCAGAGTGTCTCTTTACAGGGATAGGACAGTAACTAAGATAGCACCTTTCCTTCACTGACAGTCCTGTCTGTCCCCAGGCACATACCTGAGGGTCAATGGCTCTGCTTTGTCCCTCAGTGCCTAAGTGCAACAAATCCCAGAGTCCTTCCAGGGCCTCAGCGAATCCATCTGGATCAGTTGCACCCTCCTGCTCACACCCAGGGCCTCCGCTTCCATGTTCCCCTTCCTGTCCAACCTCTGGGGCATCACAGGGGCGATTCACTGAAAACATCACTTCCCCCTGCTGCTTCCCTGCTACAGCCCTTGGTGGCAGCAGTTTTAACTTCAAACCCTTTGTATCTTTCAGCCTACAGGAACTACCTACGCCTTGTGGGTACCAGCGCTCCTCACGGCCTCGGCTCACCTGGTGACCTGCCTTTCTCTCTTGGAGTCCTGCTCAGCTGAGCACTGGGTGTGGGCCCCCATCCCCAGGAGGTTCTCAATGTGCACTGACTCAGGAGGATCCGATGGAGAGTCTGTCTCCCAGCAAAACGGTCAGTGTTTTGAGGGCCTGGGAAGGTTGGCACTCACTTGATTTGTCCCAGGGTTGCCAAAGCTTGGGAGGCGAAAACAACATAAATTCATTCTCTCACAGCTTTAGATGCAAGAAATCCAACATCAAGATGTTAGTAGGGCTGTGCTCCCCTCAAATGCTCGAGAGGTGGATTCCTCCAGTTTCTGGTGGCCTCATGAATTCCTTGGCTTGTGACGTCATTCTAATCCTGCCTTGCTTCTGTGTCCTTATATGGTGTTGTGTATGTAATGCACACATGTGTGTGTGCACGTGTGCATGTTTGTATGTGTCTGTGGGTGTGTATATGCCTGTGTGTGTCTTTGTAGGTGTTCTCCTGTGTGTGCACATGTGTGGGCATGCATGTGCATGTATATCCTTGTAATCTGCCCTTGTATGTGTGTTCATGTATGTGTCTATGTGTGTATGTGCCTGTGTGTGTCCCTGTATGGTGTTCTCATGTGTGTGCACATATGTATACACATGCCTGCATTTGTGTGTGTGTGTGTGTGTGTGTGTGTGTGTGTGTGTGTGTGTGTGTTTCTGTCAAAATGCAACAGGGACTTGAATGACTTTGCCATAAAGATTATATCTGCAGAGACAGTTTCCCAAATAAGGTCACAGGGCATTAGGACATAATGCAGCCCATAGGACTCTGGCATCACTTAATACATAGAAAGACTCTGGTTCCCATGAACAGCCACCCAAGCAGGAGTGATGAGATCTAAGTAGGAAGGAAGGTGGCTTAGAGAAGGCAGGTTGGACCTGGAGAAGCGGAGATGCAGCAGCCACATTTAAACCCTGCCTGGGGGTGGAGCGAGGTGCACTCAAGGCTCTCCTCAGCTCTTCCAGGGCTGGCCTGCAGGAAGGTCCTTTCCTAGAGGCAGGAGCTAGTGGGGGGGGGGGCTCTTCAGGAGAGCAGGACAAGAGCAGAATCTGTCCCTGAAACATCACACAGAAGGCAGATGTCGGGGAGTCCCACGGGAAGGTGGAGTTGCGAAAATGTCAGCCTTGATGAGGAACTGAGTCAGGGCTGTGACAGCATGGCCTGAGGGAAAGAGTGCAATCCAAAGAAAAAGAGGAGGAAAGGGGATAGACAGGGACTGGCCCTAAGACCAGGAAGGGAGGCGGCTCACAGGAGGGGGTGCGTGCTAGGGCTCCGGGCTGGAGACACAGAAAATGGGGCCTGGTACCTGAAAATGCAGCCCAGGGAATGGACCAAGTCTAAAAGGGAGGTGTGTGGCTTAACATAAACCCCACACAATCAAGAAAGCAGGCTCATGGGTGTGTTGGTTAAGTGTCCACTGAGGCAGGTTGTGTATGCAAAGGAGCTAGATGAGATCCACTGTGCAAATCATTCATTCATCATGTCTTTTTATGTGAATACCTGGCACTTAGCAGCAGGTAGGATTAGATAAAGATAGGTAGACACACCAATGGATGACTTTTATATGACCTTATCACCCCTGGAATAAAATTCAATACCCACTGCAAATGGGTTCCAGTGCTGGGAGCCAACAGAGGGAGCTGTCTGGCCCCAGGGCATCGACGCAGAAGAGGCTCCACACAGGTCCCCAGACTGAAGGACACTTCTCCCACAGAGGCACCCGCATCACCCAGGCTTGCTGGGAAATACTGTGGTACAGCACAGTGGGAGAGGTTCCCATCAAAGAAGTAGGATCAAGAGCCTTGGCAGGAGACAGCATGCTCTGGCAGGCCAGGCACCAGCTCCCACAGCTGTGAGGAGGCCTGCCCACACCCAGCTTTTGCTTCTTCCTCTTGTCACCCAGCAGGGACACCGTTACCACAGAGTGAGGACAGCACTGAATTATGCACCTGGAGATGGGGTATGACTTTGGTGTGCTGTTCCTCTTTGGGGACCACGGGGTTTGTGCAAGGCCTTCTCACCATGCTGGAGAGGCAAGTGTGAGAGTCAGAGCTTGGCCCTCTGTGACCAGGCCACTCCATCTCCTCCTTTGCATGATAAAGATGGCAATGACCCTCACTCCCAGTTCCTTTACCACTGAGTTGCTTTCAGGATGCCTGGTACCCAGTGTGAGCTGCTATTGCCATGGGGACAGGCAGGACCTCGGCAAGATGGGGAGACACACATTGCTGGGGGAGTGGGGGGTGGAGATAAAGTGAGAACAGGCCAGGAAGCCCAGGGGTTATTTCTTTGACCCGAGACTGCTCATGGCCTTTGGCATCAAAGCTCTGTTCCTCCTGGAGGGAGCATTTCCTTCACCTTTTTGCCCAGGCTCCACTGCTGGCTAGCCTACATTTCTGGATGACAGCCGACTCAGAGCCTGTCCCTCACCTGGGGAATATCTCTTCCAGCTATCCTTGGGCCAGGCTATCCTGGTCTTTCCATAGTCCTCACAACTTGGAGAATAAACTTAAATTTAACTGAACATACTTGAGTCCCTCTCATGCTGGTAGGGAAACTGCGGGGAGAGACACTAAGAATAATACTGAACACCTGTGTGCCAAGCTGGCGCTGTGTGCCAAGCTTTGCGCTCCAGATCAGCCTTGCTTCCTCCACTTTATAAGTCACGCATCTGAAGCACAGAAGGGCAACCCAGGGTCAGCTGCTTTCACCAAAATCAAGCTGGTTCGATGGCTAAGCATTCATTACACCTTGTTATCTTTTGCCTTGAGGAATCCAGCAGGAAGATTCAGCTCATAACCCTCATACACTGTCTAACTGTATGGCTTGTTCATTATATAAGCAAAAAAAAAAAAGTATTTGCAAAACAGAAAATGTGAACTGGGTCTAGAACTAGGTATCACTAAGTATCAGCTATAGGATTTAGTAACCCTCAAGTAGTTCAGTTACAGAGGAGATACCAGTCTGCTTTAATTATTAAGGAGGTTTTAAGTTGTTCAGAGTATGGGTAAAAATAGGTAGCCTGATTACATTACAGATAGGCAGCATGCTAAAAATACACCCACACCCCTCAACTTGATCTAACTATGGAAAACTTTTTGGCCATGAAGGTAAATTTTCAGAACAAATGACAGACAAAACTCAAGCACACTGTTTTCCTAAACCAAAAAACAGCGTCCCACTGCTTAGCTAGCCTGCTTGTATATGTCTGGATTTATTTTATGAAACATGTCAGCAAGGACATCAGAGTACAGTCATGAGTCATCCATCCTTCCAAAGAATCATTCTCTAAAGAGGTTCATTCATACAGCCAAAATACAAGATAGTGGGGGCGGGGGGACACTCTGAGGTAGAAAGAAGTGATAAGAAAAATGTATATGGAGAACATATATTATCCTTCCTCCCTCAAGGACTTTTCTCCCTATAAAACACCAGTGACAGGCAAATGGTAGCTGGGTACCCAGCAGTCTGCTTTAAATAAGCAATGCTACGTTCTTGGCATGCATTTCCACAGCACTGCAGCACTACTGCAGCTCACGCTGACCCCCAAACCTGTACATCACCTCATACACCTTCACCACCTCCCGCTTCATCAGCACCATCGAGCATCGGGTGACCCAGGGCACATGCCCACCAGAGTCCTTTCTGATACACACCATCTTAGGCTAGACAGACAGACAGAACAAAACACACACACCAATCAGCCCACCAGGTGAACCCACCAAGACCCAGAAGGCTCATCTAGACCCATTGGGTTAGAATATGAACCTCACGTGGCGTAGGATTTAACATCGACCTCCAGGGCCTCAGGGTGGGGTCCCTTCACCTCCATCCTCTGCCCGCTTCAACATCCCAAAAGCCCTTTGTCTAGGCAATACCCCCCAATAGCCCACCCCCCCCCAACTCAAGGAGTTACCAGGTCTGTCTGACCTTGCCAGGTGATGGAGATGGGGACGGACTGCTGGTAGGAACGAAGGCATAGGTGGCCCATCAAATTTAAACACATCTCCCCCTTCAGCGGCTGGCTCAAGGCAGGAGGGGGCAGCTTTAAGGGCTGAGGAGGCCCTAAGGCTCCTCTGGCTGGGGAGTTTCCCAGAGTGACCTCAAACTGCTTACTCAGAGGCACAGGCAGGCTGGAGAGGGCTTTTCCTGTGACAGCCACCACTGGAGTTTAAAACCCCCTCTCTGTGCTGGGAACACACACACACACACACACACACACACACACAAGTGCCTGCCCAGTATCCACTCCAGAGCACATCTGCCTAAGTAAAGCTCTCTC